CATGCAAGCCAAAGCCAGATAAAAATCTAAAATATTTATGTTTTTCATCAGTGATTAAACAAACCACCCAAACATGTTTTACAAAAAGATATGATCAACTTTTGAAATTATCTGTTCCTCTATCCTGATATTATGATGGATGTTACTGAACTGTTCTAAAGTGCATGTAAATTATGTTCAAATTCTTGACATCAAGAGAGTTTTTATGAACAACAACACTTGCCATTTTGTCTTCACACTTATCTTTAAAAAAAGACTACTCAAGACCAAAAAAACAAAACAAACTTGAAAATTTCAAATGAAAACAAGTACTACTTTGATAACCTCTGAACTTGAAGAAATTCAAACCCAAAGGAACAAGAATAAACATTTCCTTTTCAGATCAGTAATCTAGAACTCGTTTTGGAAGAATCACAAGTACTTCAGAGCCACAATCTGTTTAAGTTTAGAAAGATCAGACTTAAATTCCTGCAGTGATAAGCAGTTCAGAATGTAAACCTTGCACAGCTATGGCAAATTGCCATCTAAAAGAAACATTGAAAAATGTCAGAATATGTAAAGCATGTGTTAAGATAACTCTGTATAAAAATAAGGCAATTTTGGTTATTTTCAAAGGAGTTGATAATGTAAAGTGATCACCATATAGAATTTCAAAGCTGGTGTTTTGAGCATCAACCCCTCAATAAACTGGTTACCATAAAGAGTTTCAAAGCTGATGTTCCAAGTGTTGGCTTTTCTTAAACAAATTGAATATGTTAGGATAAAAACTCCTAAAGAAGGGCAGCAGAAAGCAAAAAGAAAAACCTGAATTTTTTTGGTGAAAGCAGTAAATGCATACATGGGCATGTGCAATGTATCAGAGAACATCAGAAATACTAATCAAAAGGTCATAGGTTCAACCTTTATTGGGAACATTCAGAGTTCGTTGTTGTTTTAGTCTAAGTACGCCTGTGTCATTCACAAAATACATCATAATCTTGAATACCAAAACTATTAACTAAGAACCAAACAAATGTGAAAGACAGTAGCTACAGGGTGAGGTCATATTAAAAATAATATTGTGCAAATCATCTTTTTCATTCTATTCTGCCAGGAACTAAATAATTTGCAGGTGATATGGGAGGGGCATATTCTAACACTCTGTTATTGCAGATGTAAAATCTCACTGAAATAGCATGTATGGAACATTTGTGAACAAACATAGTTGAGCAGATATCAGTTCTCTCGTGAAGTGTAAATAGAATTTTGTCCTTCAAACTTAAATCTTTCATTTGTGACTGCTTTGTTTTAACAATTAGAATTGTCTATCAAGTTTTTCTTTTATCTTTTCCTTATCTTGTCTGCATCATATTATGTTCATGTGGCCTGCATGGCCACTATGAATGAAAAGTGGGCCACTGAAATTTAGGAAGAGAATTCCACAAAGTGCTTGAATATTTTCTCTTATCATATAGATACTGAAGAAATACCAGGATTTTTCCTTTTACTAAAAATGGTATCTTCATCCTGTGCAGTGAAGATACTATTAATTTTTTATCTGTCACATGTGATGATATTGTTGTCACCATGGTTACTAACATGATAAGCCAAAGTTTTCTCTAGTTCATTAGAATTTTGACTTTTTGAAACAGAAAATATAAGTATTATTGTCTTTATTTCTCATTTGTAACTTTATAATCAAGTGTCATAACATTTCTGTGACATGCATTTTGCGACAAGTGACCACTTTAATTGCACTGTTCTGCTGTTTTGAAAATGAATAAAAATAAGTTGTGTTTTATGTGGAAATTTCATCATATAACGTAAACAGAGCATTACATGGCCACTTAGGGATACGAATTTTATCAACTCATGCTGTAAGTAGCTCACTTGTTTGCTCCGCTCACTCTTAAGAGATACATACAGCACTCAAAGATAAAATTCGTATTCCTACATGGCCATGTACAATCCTATATTTATTATATAGACACTGATGAAATACCAGGATTTCTCCTTTTACAAAACATCATATCTTCCCTGCACGCAGTGAAGATACTATTTTTATCTTTCACGTGTCAGGATATTGGTGTGGCCATGGTTACCAACAAAATTACCCAATTGCTGTTTTGAAAATGAATAAAAAAGTTGTCTTTTATGTGGAAATTTCATCGGTATCTATACAATAAAAGAACATTACATGGCCGCTTGGGGATACGAATTTTATCTTCTCATGCTGAAAGTATCTCTCACGAGTGAGCGCAGAGGTAGTATTCACCTTGTATTGAAAACAATTAATTCAGACACAGTATTAGGTTGGTAACTCTTTTTTCAAAATCTTTTTCACTCAGTTACTCTGTTTCTTTTTTCAGACTGGCATTATCATTGTTGATGACTGTAAACTCGCAGTGGCTGTCAATTTTGGGACAAAAGCAGCCTCGTTCCCATGTGCTGCAGCAAAGCAGCTTCAAATTAAGGATGGATCTGAACCTTACAGGTATGGGTATGTAAATGCACACCATAAAGAAAGACTATAGGGTCACAGCAAAGTGGGCAAGTGGTTAGAGTTTTTCTGAGTTGCCAGGGGGCTGGTCCTATAATTGGGTTGTCCCGTCCTTCTTTTTCAGTCTCTTTCAAATCATTTTCGTGGCCAGCAGAAATGAATTTGTGGTAGCAAATGTGCCATTAAATGGGTTGACACGTGACTAATAAATTGTTTATAATTAATTCTTATCCTTCACAAAAAGTAACTTGATCAGCAGGGATTTGCTAAAGCAAAGGCATAGAAAAAACCAGGAAAGATTTATTACTCGACGTTTCGGGGTCATCATGACTCAGAAAGTTAAAACGCGTGGTACCTGGTTACAATTGAATAAGGCACTGTTTCCACGGAAGCGGTTTCATTTATAACCGCATAGGTTTCGGTGAGGTCACTCCTTTCGTTTACACGACCCGGCAATGAAACCGTATCGTTTTGAAAACGCTCCACTTTTGAAATCGTTTTCAGAACGACCCGGTTCTGATAACGAACTCGACCCGTGCCGAGTAAACAAAAGGCGGAACTGCATCGAAACCGATGCGCTTACAAATGAAACTGCGTCCGTGTATACAGTACCTTAGTCGATGTTACTTTTCATTCGTTAAATATCTGTATTCTCTCAAACATTTTGTTCGTTGAAAACGATGAACGAAGTACGCTTTCGGTAGGTCTTTATAAGTTTGTGCAATTTGGACATTTGTACAATAAACTGTACAACAGAAACCGAAGAGATTCAATGAGGAAAAAAACCGCTTTAAATCCCGTTGGGTTTCGCTAAAGTGTCTCATTTGACTTCAGTTTTTCGGTGGAAGAAAAACCACGTTTACACACGCCATTGCAGGAAACAAACGACCTAACTCGCTCAATTTCAAAACAAACATTTGAATTAACTTACCATGACTTTCCTTGCCATTTACTGAGCGAGCAGAGGTAAATCTTCGTAGATTAATCGTTGATGGAAGTAAATAACTTTCGTAATACCATTGACTGTTTTCGAAGTACAATTGTTGTGTTGAACTCGAGTTGTTTGCCAAACCAATCCGGGTTTTTTTCTTTTTTTTAAAAGTGAACGCACTCCTTTATTGACAGGTGTCAGATCGTGACAGATACTTATAAAAAAAATTGTTTCGAAGTTTGTTTGGAAGCCCTTTATCCCTACTGAATTAAAAATTATTTCGGTCATATGTACAGTAAATTGTAATAATTTGGATTATCTCTGTTTTCTTACCATCTTTTCGCCCAAAAGTGGTTCAGTTTGTGAGGGATCCTTCGAAATCCTAAATCATTCGGGTTCTTTTGGCAAGCATTTCGTTAAGTTTTCGGAAAAAAGGTTATTTACTTGCCCAGGTTGGTCCTTACAGGGAAGACTGTGCCCTCCGTCTTGAGTGCCGCCCTGAAATGTTTTCGTGTTTGGAATAAAAAGCCAACTGCAAATAGCAACGGTATTGAGTTGGTGGGCTTGAGATTTTCTTGTGTGACGCAGAACACTTTTTTTTGTCTCGTACTAGAGACAAAATGAAGAAAAGGAACAACTTTAATTTTTTTTTTTTTTTTTTTTTTTTTTTTTAGCTCCTTGGATCTGACAGGTCCTCTGCTTCTCGGTGGGCTCTTGCAGCTACCAGTTCAGTTCCCAGTCCTCTACAGACATTTTACTGGCTGCATCAGAAATGTTTTCATTGATCACAAGTTCTTGGATCTCGCTCAGCCATTGTACAAGAACGGAACTAGCGCTAAATGTAAAGCAATGGCAAATACGTGCGCTTACAAACCTTGCGAGCGAGGCAAGTGTTTTAACATCCTTGGTTCTCGCCGGTGTGAATGCCCCTCTGGTTTTGATGGAAGTAGCTGTGAAACAGGTATTGATTTTTTTCGGATTTAATTTTCATGTAGAAAGTGACCTTTCCTCTCTGCGATATAGTTCAAATTATTTTTTTTTCTCAGTTCGTGAGAAGGTGGTGTTTTACAAACTCTGCGATCTGATTGGTTCCGAGAGCGGGCGGTATTCTCCCATCCAGCCCGCTCTCGGCGGGCGGTGTCCGTTTCGTGTTGAGTCGCGTTGCGAACATCTCTAGCTTTTTATAAATATAGGTTAAGACTGCCTCGGGATCAAATGTTAGCACCCCTTTGGTATTGCGTGACTTCCAAATACCCCAACCTCGGAGAACTTTTATTTCTTCATGGGTTCATACATGCAAACTACTTATAAAATTCCGTGTTCTACAGGTGTGAAATACACTGAGAGATTTTTAGGACAGAGTTTTAAGAAGGTGCCTGCCAACTCAAAGGTCAGTCTTCCATGGAGTATTTCGATGAGATTCCGCACAGCCAAGCCTTCAGGGACTTTGCTTGAAACCTCGTTTTCGTCGTCATCTTCGGTATTAGAGGTAAGTTATGTAAATCAAGGTATATGTTTGGAAAGTCAGTAAACGTTCTTATACTTACGTAAATTTCATTGCTTTTTCAGTTGGTTGATGGTAAACTGTCATACAACTATGATAAAGGTGTTCTTCGACTACCTCACATAGCGGCGAATGATACTCAATGGCATCACATTGACATCCTCTGGACTGACTCTTCCCTTAACATAACAGTGGACTATATCTACAAAGTTTCTGCAGACGCATCTAGTGGTAAAGCCCTTGGTGCTGTCAAACAGTTTTTCATTGGCGCTAGGAAAAATTCTACCAAATCTGTAGTGTTTGGTGGATTTAGAGGCTGTATACAAGGTATGCAGTTGTAAACAAATTCCTCTTGGTTAACGTTTTGACTTATCTTGTTGACGAACATGTAAATGTTCACACTCAATGAAAGGTATAGTGTACTGTGCTCATCTGCTACAGAGCTGTTTTTCTGCTCTTCGGACAGCAAGTTTACGAACAGCCTACTGTCTGTCCAAAACGTCAGGTTAGAGTGTGTGCGTGCATACGTATTTGTGTGCGTGCGCGTGCGAGCGAGTGTGCAAGCGCGTGCGTGTGCGTGCGTCTACGTGTCATCGTGCGTGTGTGTTTATGCAATAAGGTAAAGAGTTGTGCCATTGGAGTGGGCTTGGTAATGGTGGATGCATGAATAATAGGGTATTTCCGAGTTCTGAAAGACTTCCCTTTTTTTACGTGAAAATTGGCTTCCTTGCATGATATGAAAAAAATTCAATTTCATATGATAGGTGTCGTGTTTGGCCTCGTTTTAAAAAAGGGGCTGAGGGCCTCACGGAAATTGGTCCGACTCGGTTACCCGTTTATATGAGACACAAACCTCTCTCATTTCATATCCCTAGGGATTTCTGTTGGAAGCACTGAAATCAACATGAACTCTGGAGATAATCACAACACAATATCTGGTTGTGAAGAGAAAATGGGAAGCCATTGTGTATCGAACTCTTGTCCAAACAACAGCACGTGCCGTGAAGAATTTGACTCGTACAAGTGCATATGTCCTGTTGGTTACGTCGGCAAACTCTGCGTGCGCATATGTTCTCTCAAGCCGTGCCGACATGGTAAATGTGAGAGTGTAGACTCTAAGAAGGGATTTCGATGTGTTTGTCCTCAACAGTACACTGGTAAGTGAGAATTTTCTCCTTTTTCTTCTTATTGTTATGATGAAATACACCAGATCATTTAAGTAAATTGGATTTGTACATAGTATTACGTTAAAGAGCATTTTAGTGGGTGCCTGCCAACTAATTCTAAAGTCTGGGTCAGCTTGATATGAAGATGAAGTTCTTCCTTGTTGGGAACCTTTTTTGTAATCTGTGGGTATCATTTTTATTCAAATGAAGTTGTTATAGATAAAATAAATAGTAAATAAATGGATATAGGGCACGCTTTAACTCGACGCGAGACTACTGCATCGAGTCAAAAAAAGCCGTAGAACAAATCAGAACGAGAAATCCGAAAAACAAAATTAAAGCAAGGAACACTACGATATAAGAGGATCACGAAGAGCTTGTGATGCTCCTGCAGTTTTGCAGTTAAGTCTTGTCAACTTAATATGTTTACAGAAAGACTTTTTTATAATTCCTTAGGTGAATTTTGTGAAGTTCGTATGGAGTTACCATGTCCTGATAAGTACTTTGGTGCGTCAAGCATTGGAGTCTGTGGTCCGTGTAAATGCGAAGTTGGCATGAATCTGAGTCCAGTTTGTGACAAGTCTACAGGAGAGTGCTTCTGTAATGTAAGTACCACAAGGATGGAACTTCTGGGATGAATAAAATTCAAACCGTGAGAAGTTTCGGGAGTTAAAGCATGGATAAAATATGAGCAGTTTTTGTTTTTCCATCTGAAGTCTGTAGAACTTGGAAAAAAATATTGGGAAAAAGTGTCAGCGTAGGAATAAATTTTAAAAAAATTTCCTTATTCTACCATTACGAACTAAGGCAGGAAAGTGGGATTGTTTGCAGTGTGGGGGGACATAAAAGTTTTTTTTGTTTTTTGTATTTGCTTTCACATTTTATAAAAAAAGAACATGTCTTTATACCGATCTGTACCATTCAGGAAACTCCTATATTGATAATTGCACAATATAAGTCATTCTTAATCTGACTGGTATAGAAAACAGGGCTAAAAAGTAATTTGGTTGTATGAACTAAGTTGAAATTGTAAATTGGTCACCGTAACGAGTTCGCTCTGACGAAGGCCTAACGCTCGAAAAGTCGGCTTTTTAACTAGTTACGGTGGCCAATTTACAATTTCAATTTAGTTGATATAACCAAATTACCTTAATGCCCCCAACCGACGCAGTACCACAGTTTGTTTAGAAATTTTTACCCTTTATTCAGGGCTAAAAAGTACATTGTATGGGCGATGTGTATGAAACAAAACCACTAAATGGCTCATTCGTGGTGCATTTTGCGTCGTCCATAAACTGCACCAACTGTTCTAGAATTCAGTTCTGAGGTTATGTCTCTTTCGTTCACTTGTCATGCAAATGGAAATTGGTGCTGTGTTTTCATGGATATTTGTACTCATTTTGCTTTTGTCTAGGCAAAACACTATCGAAAGATTGTAAGCTACACATTCTCTGGGGCCCCTGTGTTTAGTGATGGCTGTTTTAGATGTGATTGTGCTGAGATTGGTAGTACAGGGGAACAGTGTGCTACAGAGAATGGCCAGTGCCCTTGTCTTAAAGGCCGCAGGGGAGGGAAGGATGTGGTCGGAAGGCGTTGTAATCAGTGCGAAGACAAACAGGGACAGATTGTGAGCGGTAGAGGCTGCGTGGGTAAGTGAGGTTAAACGTAAACGCTTTTCAAACGCCGTAAAAATGCGTTTTAACGCCTATTTAAGGCGGTTGAAATGGTTATAGTTGTGTTTGCAAGGTGTCAGTGGTGCGGATGGAACACACTTCGACCGTTTCCAACGCGTGTTTATTGCGGGTGAAATGCGTTTGTACGCGTTTAAAACAGGCGCGTAGATAAGCGCAA